AAAAATATGGTTGACGCCAAAATGCGCTATAAAATATAGTGAGATTATAGTTAATTCAACGATATTTTTCTATCAGTGCAGGGACGCGGGTTGGAAGCGGGCTCGTATCGGGGAGACGGGAAGATTAATAACATCGAAGAACGCGGGGGAACGGTGTTTTATTCCTCCGTAGCGCGCGCGTCCCCGGCGAGAGATGTCCCCGCGTCATCGCCGACCTTCGTGCGCGCGCGCGAGAACGCCGTTTCAAGAGCACACACGTACTCTCTCGGCTCCGCGGTCGCCTCCGGCGGCCGCTTTCGCTTCGCTCTCCGGGTGTATTCCGAGACGTCGCCTCGAGGCCTCGCGCGCTCCCGATCTCGCACTCGCGGGATTTTATTTATAACGTCGCACCGCCGAAAGTCGTGCGAAAGGCACGACGTCGCGCAGAAGCATCTGGCCGGATCAGTCTCAGCGAGAGCCGGCGAGGCCCGTCACGGCTCGCACCTGTCGGAGCCTGCCGGTAACCTGCCGCCGCCTCGTGCACTGCGCGCTTCCTGCATTGGCGCGTCGCCAGAGCGCTCGTCGCCGTCGCCGTCGCCGTCGCCGTCGCCGTCGACGTTGTCGGCCGAATCGTCGATAGAGGCAGTCGGTGTCGCGTGCCCGAGCCGAATGTCTCCGTGTAACACACGCGCTGCACATCCGACGATAATTGGACGACAACGACGACGACGACGACGACGACGACTAAATGTGTCGCGATCTGACACTCGTCTCGTGTTCGCGCGATCATCCGCGCTCTCACGGATGAGCGACGATTCGGACGCGAAATGACGCGCGAGCCCGCCGCGTGAATGACGGCCACCTGTGCGAAATGCGGGGGGTTACGAGAATAATGGATAACTTTGTATCGCCCGCGCGATAAGAGCAACGTCTCCCGCGTTGAGGGGGGGAATTGGATGCGGAGCTGTTTTTAGGAATTTTTTTAACAGACGCGGTAGGATTGATAGGCTTGAAATTCTCGCGGTGTGTTCGTTAATGTTCAAAGTATAAAATAAATGTGTTGCTACACTACACTAGGAAAAAGAATTTAGTGTCTCTAACAAGACTGTTCGGTTGAGGCATTTTTTAGATAGCAACCAAATATCTTGTTTTATATAACAAAATATTTAGTTGTCTCGACTAAATATATTTTTCTGCTTTGTTCTCTGGACCAAATGATTTTGTTCTTAGACTTCATGTATAAAAATTACGCATTTTAGTTTTTTTATCCGTAATAATTACATAATAACGAAATATTATTTTACATTAACTAAAATAATGCCCAATGGGTACTATTTTGTCTTTCTGTGCACTAAAATTTAGATTTTATATATTAAGAAAAAATTATAGTATTTTTAACAAAATTCATATAGTTTAAGCTTTTTCGTTGCTGTAACGAAAGTATTACGTTATACGAACAAACCGTAATCAAACGAGATATTTGCTTACAGGAACTAAACAGTTTTGTTGGGCATATTTTAACCAAATTATTTTGTTGTTACAACAAAATTTTGATACACGCAACAATACATTTTTCCTAGTGCATATATGGAAAGTACACACAAAACTTTGAACGCGTTTATCTGGAAACACCGTTTTCTTAAACTATCGATACGATTACGCTAAAACTATACTGAACCGAATAAATTGAAATTTTTACAGTAGACATTTTTACAGTAGTATATTTTTGTAATATATACAGTAGACACGTAGTTTTCGCCCCTACCTCGAACACAGTTATATCTTATTTTATTCATTTTTTTTAAACACGATTACAAGTTGAAAAAGGTTTCACATTCGATACTTTTTTTTTGCACAGTTATTATTTTTCCAAACTTGGCTTCATTGCCTTCGTTTTGGTACGAGCTATAATGGCAACCATATATTTCAAAAATCTTTCTCAGTTTTTGGTTTCAGAATAGTGAGAGAGAGAGAGAGAGAGAGAGAGAGGCTCGGAATTGTGTCGACAGCAAACATAGAACTCGCAAACGGATGACTGCATTTTTATCTATAATTACAAATCGGATCGGTTCTTGTGATTCGATAAAATTTCTTTTATACTTTGAACACATGAATGAATACACAGTGAAAATTTCAAGTCCATTGATCTTACCGTTTCTGTTAAAACAAAATTCGTAAGAATAGCCTTGAAAGCGGCCGCCCGCATGTAATTCTCCCTCTAATTGAGTCGCGTCGTGGCAGAACGCGACAAAGACGCGGCGAGGCAGCGATAATAAAAACATCACAGGAAGAAACTACAACTGCAACACAAAGTAATAACAAGTAATAACTATATCCAAGTAATAACAAAGTAATAACAGGAAAAAACTGTAACAAAGCCGAAATATCGAGAATATATCCAGACCAAGTTCCGAGAATGTTTACCCTGAAGGGCGCGGTGACAGCTAACACGTGTTAAACGCCTGCGATCAGACCTGGCCGAAAGATTTCAAGCACCTGCGGAGAGTCTCAGACGGGAATTAAGGCGTCATGTCCGCTTGACCTTGCCAATACATCGAGACGGCACTCGGCGAAATGAAACGATTCGCCAAGCGAGTGATCGCCGGCTTTTCGGAGGCGCTCGTCGGCAACCTCCAGCGCCGAAGAAGAAGGCCGAACGTTACCGGCTCGCAAGATCCAACCGTGAACCGCGCTCGTCCACGTCTCCTAAAGCTGAAGCTGACGATTGGAGGAGCTGGCCGCGAGGCGACTCGCGCGCGACGCTCCTCTCAAAATTCGCGCGCGTCGATGTCGAAAAAGCCAAGTCGCGCGCGCGCGCGGGCCTCGACCTCGGCCGAAAGAGAGACAGCCGCTCTCGCAGGAGAGGGCGAGAGCCGAGGATCGCGAAAGCACCCGATGATGGTCCGGCCAGTCGTCGGAGTCCGCGTGGGCGCTGCGCTCCGAGCGTCTGGTGGTATTAACGTACGGATACGCGCATGGCAGGGACTTTAGCGCACGCTGCTAACGACGCTGATCTTAGGTCATGGTCAAAAGTAGCCTTACGATCGCGCTGGGTTGGTCGCTTTCGTCGAAGGCGCACCGTAGAAAGGCGCGCTCACTCGCTCGCTCGCGCTGCTCGCCGACGCCGATTCGTAAGATCCGCGTGGGCGGCATTGTTGGATTGTTCTCATGGAAACGTGGTAAACGCGATAATGATCCGCAGAGTCCCTAGAGCGGCTAGGAGCGCCGGAGAGAGCGAGGTTCTCTCTCTCTCTCTCTCTCTCCCTCTCTCTCTCTCTCTCTCTCTCTCTCTCTCTCTCGGCAGGGCCGCGTTTTCAGCACTCCGGGAAACCGCGGCGTGGTCTCGCGGTACCGCTAAATCGCCCGGCGCAAATACAAAGGCGCTGCGGATAGCGTGGAATCGTACACCGGCGTGGAAACACGAGAGGGAGAGACCGAAGAAGCGGAGCGGGGCGAACACACCCTCCCGCGCCGTCCCTTTGTCCGCGTTGATTCCGAAAGAGCGTCTCTCCGGGCCGGACGTTCGTCTCCCCTGCGATTATCAGTCCCGGGTGAGAGAGAGAGAGAGAGAGAGAGAGAGAGAGAGAGAGAGAGAGAGAGAGAGAGAGAGAGCGCGGAGGGTAGCATTCCTCCACGAAGAGGAGACGACCGCATCGTCCATCGCGCTCTCTCTCTCTCTCTCTCTCTTTCTCCCCCCTCTCTCTCTCTCTCTCTGTCTCGCCTCTAGATTTAAACGACGCGGTTTCGAACGGGCCGCCGTAGGAATTCGAGTCCCAGGCATCTACTCCGACAGCGCGGACTCTAGTGGTTAGATGCTGCTACCTCTCTTTCCCGTCCACGGGGCCGGCGTTACGGTGCTGAATGTCCGGTTAATGCACCTGCGTGGTCCGCGGCTCTCTCGCGAGAGCGGAACACCGTGAAGCGAAGCGGCAGGGCGCGCGAAGGAAGAAGGGAGGGCGCGCGCGAGGGACAATCATGGCGCGGAGGAGCTCTCGGCGTCGGGCTACCGATGACGAGAGGATGAAACTGCGGACGATGGTGGGACGGCAACACGACGACGACGACGACGAAGTCGACCACGTGCATCGGTCATCGCGGGCGAGGGGGTGGGGGAACGCGTCGCGCAAATATCGGCAATTTCTCTCCATCTCGGCGGCGCCGCCGCCGCACCGACGGCATCGGGGTCGCTTCGTCGTTCGTCGTTCGTCGTTGTCGATCTCTCGTGCGTCAGCCGACGCGAGCGATTAGAAAAACGTCCGATCTCTCTGGCGATGCCTCTGGCCAGGAGCGCGAGGGAACGTGGCTTTGTATCGGAACGGTGAAACAAAATCTGGCGAGAAGGCGAAGTGGCAGCGAAAGACTAACAACAGGTGGCGGAATTGACGTTCGAGTTAGCAGCTTCGCACCGGCTTTTCTTCGCCATCTCTCACTCAGCATCTCACGACGGAGTCTTTGACAACTGAGAACCAACTCTGGTCTCTCTCTCTCTCTCTCTCTCTCCCTCTCTCTTTCGTATATTTAATCGGACAACGAGATTAAAGGGAAATTGCATGCGGAGCAGGCCGTTCTCGAGGCTATTTATTTTTAACAGAAACGGTGGAATCGATGGACTTGAAATTTTCGCAGTGTATTTATTCATCAATGTTCAGAGTATAAAATAAATTTGTTACCATCTATATGAAAAGTACGCACAAAACTTTAAAAACGCGTTTATCTGAAAACATCATTTTCTTAAACTGTCGACACGATTATGCAAAAACTACTGAGCCGAATAACTCGAAATTTTTACACAATATACAGTGGACATGTAGTTTTCGCGCCCCATACCTCGAACACAGTTATATTTTAGTTTATTTTTCTTTTAAACATGATTACAAGTTGAAAAAAAATTTCATTTTCGGTATTTCCTTTTTTTGTATAGTCATTATTTTTCGAAACACTGCCTTCATTTTGATACGGTCTGTGATGGCATATTTTAATAAATAAATATTTTAAAAATCTTTCTCATTTTTTGATTTCAGAGTAGTGAAATTAGCCAGCCCGGAATGATTTCGACAGCAAACATGGAGCTCGCAAACGGATCGCTGCATTTTTATCTATAATTACAAATTGGATCGGTTCTTGTGGTTCGATAAAATTTATTTTATACTTTGAACATTAATGAATATAATGTGAAAATTTCAAGTCCATTGATCTTACTATTTCTGTTGAAAAAATTCGTAAAAATAGCCTTAAAAACGGCCTTACGCATATAATTTCTCCCTTAACAATCGGATATTTCTGGGATTCTTTTCAGCACAGGTTTTGTTGCGCAAAACCGCGATACGGACTGAAATCGGGCAAGAATCGAGCGAGGTCTCAACGACCTAACATGAGAAATTCCATTAGAAAATGTATAACGCGAATAACCTTATCTCTGATTGAGTGATAAAACACGTCGGATGATGAATACGGTCGATGATGCGTCGGGGCCAGCTTTATCATCGCTGTGTCGGAGCAAATTTTCAATTCGAAACAATAAAGATCGAGCAACATGAAAATCCCGCTGAAAGGATCGGCACAGTTTAGTGTGCCGCCGTGTGCGATCGAGAAGTTGAGTTTAGTTCGAGTTCGATTCTCAGGTCGCTTCGGCCATTCTCCCTTTTCATAGCACGCGAATGACGACGAGCGGCGCGACGATTAGCGCAGATTATGCCGGCCCCTCGTATTCGTGGCGTTGAACTCACCGAATCTCGCGTCGCGGAGCGCCTCACGACGCGAGAGTGAAAAAGCGAAGCGAAAACGCGGCCGCGCAGCCGGCCGTTTCCGGAAAAGCGGCGGGAAATCCTGGCCGATGAAGGAAGCACCGCGCTGCCTCGGGCAGAAAGATGCACCCGATAGCGCCGTTTCGATCCTCCTTTCGTAGCCGGCCGGAGAGACTAGGATGCTCTCCTCTTTTTAATTCCGCTCTCCTCTCTCTCTCTCTCTGTCTGTCTCTCCCTCCACCGCTTCCACGCTCCTCTTCCTCCCGCCGTGTATTCCAACGTGCACCAATTCATAAAATCCCTGGAGCGAGCCTAAGCGCTCCACTAACTCCGCCGACGAGTCGCTGACCTCAGGACTCAGCCGTGCGCATCAGCTGCATTTCTCCGTGCACATAGACCAGTTGCGGCGCGATGGTCATGGTTATCCGGAGGAACCCATGGCGCACACCGACGGCGGCCACTAGACGAGGAAATGCGTGCGCGCGCGAGCGAGCGAGCGAGCGAGCGAGCGAAGTCCATGTGCCGAGGAACGCATCCAGGAATATATTATCAAATACTTTGCGAAGTCGCAAGAGGAGCAGCTCTCACATGTGGACATGTGCGGGATGAAGCGAAGCCGCTCGCCGGCGCGGCGATGTGAGTCGCCCGGCGAAATTCTATGGCATTACGGAGGGCGGAGGACGACGCGCACGTAACGAGACGCCGAGCGAGGAAAACGGCTGCTCCGCGAGGACTCGCCAGAGCGCGTCGATCGAAAACGCACGATTGCGCACGCGCACGCGCATTAAGATATGTCCTCGATATATTAATTAAAATCCTCGGCGCGCGCGCGCGCATTACGTCTTATCGGAATCGCCGTGTATTACATGCATTTCGGTGCTCCTTCGTGTTCCCGCGCGCGGAGAATCCGCGATATCTCGTGCCCGCGCGTATAAAGCGACCGTCGCTCTTCAGACCGTTCCGCCCCCCTCTTTCCTCCCCGCCGATGTCCTCCAGTCCTGCACTCGCCGTCGTCGTCGTCGTCGTCGTCGAAGGAGACCGCGGTTACGACGCAGGGCGTCCCTGAGGCGCGACGCGTTCCTCTACGCCGCCCCATTGCGCCGGCCGGCCGACGAGCACAACACAGGCGAACGGCAATTACGCGAGCGGTAATTATCGCCGATACTAATTTAGTGAAATTCACCGTCGCGTCGGACGAATCGCCGCGCGACGTTGTCTCGCGGCTTTGTCCGCGCGAAGAATAGGAAAGAAAGAGCGCGACTTCGTCGCTAATGACGATCTTTTTCAATGAAATAATGCCCCCCCCCTCCTCCTCCCTCCCGCCGCCGCCACGCAACGGCGTCCGCAGCGTTCGCGAAAATAAATGAGCTGAGAAGTCCGTTTTGGGAGGAACAGAGCGCGGTGGGAGAAATGAGGAATTAGCCGTCGTAATTCGCGTCCATTATGGTCGCCCGTTTCGTACGGGATGGCGGGGAGGGGAAGGGGATTCTCCTCGGCTCTCAGGAGCCGCCGTGTAAATTCTATCAAAGTCTATCTCGCGCGCTCGGCACACCGGGGAATACGGTCGTACCCCACTCTGGCGCAACTACACGTGAAAAGTCACGCTCTGCTGGATTCAAGTATAGCTAGTATCCGATATACCGGGTGACTCGCTGCTCTCTGTCTGTTTCGCCTGCCCTCTCCTTCTCTCCTTCTCCCTCGCGACCGAGAGCGATTTCTGTTCGATCAGCCGGCGAGCCGTTTGACCGAGAATCCAGAAGCCGCTCTCGGCGCTCGGAATGGGGATCGGCGGGAGGCTTTTTCTCGCGCGAGAGACAAGAGGATCCTCCGGATCTCGCGCGCTCGCGAGAGGCGCGCGTCGACGCGGCGCGCGGCGGAGAGACGGCGGAGAGGAACGGTCGTCGACGACGACGACGACGACGAGCATTGTCGATTTCCGCGGGTGTTAAACCGCGAGGAAAAATCGGCCGCGCCCGGTCGCGCTCTGGCGCAAGCGGCTCTCGCGGGGTGAATGTTATTGAAATAAACCGTGGCGGCTGATTCCCATGACGTACGCGTAATCGGCGTGAAAACCGCACGTCGCGACTGAGCGCGCGTATAAAATGAGCGAGCGGAGCGGACCGCGGCAAATGATTCGCGTTATTAATATAACCGTGAACGCGACACTAATAAAGCTCCACACAGGCCGGCCGGCCGGCCGGAAATCGAGAATCATCCCCGCTGCTCTCGCGCGCGCATTTCTGCCTTCCCGGCGCGGCGCCTCTCCGTTCTTCCGCTCCTTCGCCGCTCTCCGCGTCCTCGCGGATCGCGCGCGAGCAAAGCGCGAAAGCAAAGCAAAGCAAAGCGAAGCAAGCAAGTCCCGCGTCGCCGGCGAATCTCGGCGCGCGTATCTCCATCGTCATTCCGCGCGCGGAGGATCATCACATCCCGATCAGATGAACGCGCTCGCCGGCAATTACGTAAGCCTCGCCGGCGCGCACCGTTAACGATTACGCCATTGGCGGCGGCGGCGGCGGCGGCGAAGGAACGCGCGAAACTCCCGATCGCAGGCCGACGCGGGCGGGCGGACGTTGCCGGAAAAAGCGACGACGGGGGCACGCCGTCACTTCTGGATCACTCTGTATGTGTGTATCCCGTGCATACACAGCGCGCGCGCGCGGCGTAGCCTTTGCTACGGCTGTTGGCCTATTCGCTCATTCCGCGAGCTGAGTCACACGCAACGCGCACACACCGGGTCTCTCCTTGTCTCTCCCACCATTCCTCCTCGACCCCTCCACGCGCCGCACTCGGTGGGCTCCCTCCGGGCCCCTCGATGAGGCCCCTGCGCCCCCTTCTCCCCTTATCTCTTTCCCCTCCTCGCTGCCGTCCCACGCTCCCTCTTCGTCCCAGCGCGTCTTTCCTGCGGCCCCTGCGGCCGCAGGCTGACTCCCCAGGTCGGCTGACCGAGCTGACTGTCTCTACGGCTGGCTGGCTGGCTAGCTGGCTGGATGGCTGGCTGGCTGGCTGACTGGATGGCTGGATGGCTGGCTGGCTGGCTGGCTGGCTGGCGGGCTAGCTGGCTGGCTGGCTGGCTCGCCGGCGAAGCCAGCCACCCAGCCGACCACCTTCCTTCTCCCGCGTGTGTGCCGCCAGTCGACTGGGGTTTACCTGGCGTTACCTGCCAGGCTGTAGCCTCAGTTCACTCACGTCACTTCGAGCAACCGGTTCGGAGTCCTCTCGGCCGCGCTCGCACTCGACTTTAAAAGCCTTTCCTTTCGTGCCTGCCTCCTCTTGCCTGCCTGCCTGCCTGCCTGCCTGCCTGCCTGCCTGCGTGCGCGTGTAACCGCGTAACTCTTCCTCGTCTTCGGCTTCGTCTTCTTCTTCTTCTTCTTCTTCTTCTTCTTCTTCTTCTTCTTCTTCGTAATCGTCTTCGGTCCGGCTTTTTCACTGCCTTCTTCTTGTTCTCGTTCTTGTCTCGTTCTTTTCTGCTGCTTCTTTTCTCTTCCACGTGCGTCTCTCTCTCTCTCTCTCTCTCTCTCCGCCGTGACGACTCGTGTCGGTCTCTCGGCCGACGTTGATAATATTTGACTCTGGTGCGCGAGCGGGTCTCCCACCGAAGGAAGCGATCGATCGGTCGCGTCGAGAATTCTCGCTGAAATCGCGCTTCACCGCGCGCTCGTCGCCGGGATGGAGAGACTCTTATGTGCACGGCCAAGTCCGCGGGCGACAGTGAAGTTTTCACGGATCTCTCGACGACGGCGGCCCCGCGTCGATCCGCGAGGGAGACGAAGAAGACGGACGGATGAGCGAGCGTGGACGAAGCCAGGAGAGGATTGCGAGGAGAGGTCGTTACCGATAACGATCGCTATCAGGTATATACTTCGCACGGTACGGCGAGAGCGAGGCGAGAATAATCGGCGGACGGATATTGCCGAGAGACGAGAGAGAAACGAGAGAATTGATTCAATCTGATCGACACCTTTATCCCCTCGCGATCGGAACCGGTCGCGACCGAGCGGTCGCTCGGGAGTAACGTCGTGGCCGCCAGCGCGAGTCGAGTCGAGTCGAGTCGAGTCGAGTGATTGAGGAAACGAATTCGAGTCCGCCGGCTTCGACTTCCGCGATTCTCGCGTCTCTCCGGCGAATATATTCAACGCGAGCGAGCGTCGAGCGGCGTGAAACGCGCGCGCGCGCGCGGCCGCCGCGCCGGAGGCTACAAGCGATCGCATCCTGCTTAAATGTCGCGCGCGCGCGAATGTTTTTTATCAGCGCTGACGATCGCCGGTGAAATCTATTTCTTCGGAGCGCGCCGCGCGGGCGCGCGCGGACGGCCACGTTCCCAACGGTTTCTCTTTCTTGCGTATCAGGGATTTTCATCGGGTCAGTGTCCTCGCC